GTAGGAATGTTTTTATAGTAATAAAGTATACTTAAAAAAAGTTTGGTACAATTTGGCGTCATATGCATATTGCCAATTGGGCAGCGTCCCTTCACACGGATGAACATGTTATAAACATATTTTTGTAAGAGACTGGATGTTGTTCACGACTTCGTCCGCGTACAACAAAAATAGTAATAACATAGCCTATGTTACTCAGTGATAACATAGCTTTTTAATGGTGCCAAAATGATTCAAATCGGTTTAGTAGTTTTTGAGTTATTTCAACACGTACAAAAATTCCTTTTTTCTTTTCTCGTGGAATCGAAAAAGTGAGACCATAATATTTAACTTCCACGTCTAGGCTCTGGGTCATTCGAAGTTACTCTACATAAGTTAAAGTAATCAACAGTTACGGTAATACTTTACAATAGATATAATCTTTACATAACGGTGCGGTTATCTACATAATGGATGACCGTTGAGATTCATTCCGACTATAATAAAGTGCAGTTCAGGGGAATTATCAGGAATATTCGTGAGATCGTTTTCGTAACGTCATCATTTGTATTAGATTTATTCATCGCACACACACACACCTTTGACTAAACTATCGCACAACAGTTGCGTGATTGTCGATTCTTTCGCAGCCAATTCTAATAATTAATCTATACTTTTAAACTAATATTATAAAGAGGAAAGACTTGATTTTTTGTATGTATTGAACTAAACTACTGGGCAGTTTTCAAAAATTCTTTCACCAGTAAAAAGCTACGTTATAAGTGAGTAACAAAGGCTATGATTTATTTTTTTTTAATTACATGCGGACGAAGTCCCGATCAACAGCTGGCACTTCCAAATATTGAATTAGAAACTTGTATATCATTATTCTTGATAATATCAAACATACTGGCACACATTAATGTGTAATCCGATACTATAAAAAAGGTAATCTTATTAATATTATAAATGCGAAAGTTTGGATGGATGTTTGTTAGAGTTTGTAGCCTAAACGGCTGAACGAATCTGGATGAAATACGGCATAGGAAGACAGTCTGGAAGAACACACAGGCTACTTTCTTTTGTTTCTATTAATACCGCGCGGACGGAGTCGCGGGCGAAAGCTAGTATAAAATAAAACAAACAAAACATAGAATTTCAAGCTTTAATTCATTAGTTGGGTAAATAACTGACTTATATAAATAAGAGTAAATTGTATTGCAGTAACGAGGCGCTCCGCGCTCGGCCCCGTCGCAACGTCATCGGTGTTATCAAATTATCCAGGCGATATGAGCTCGCAAAATAATTTGCACAACTTGTTAGCACTGACGTTTATACACTAATTGTTTTATCTCTGGATGAAATTCTTACTATAAAGTTCGACTGCCTGCTACACTCCTATACTAACATTATAATGAGGAAAGATTTGTATTTTTGTATGCATTGAAATAATTCAAAAACTACTGAGCCTATTTTAAAAATTCTTGAACCATTAAGGTATGTTATCAGTGAGTAACATATACTATATTTTTTTCAATTTTTTTAAATGCCACGCGGACGATGTCGCGAGTAACAGCTTTTGTATTATAAAGCCTGCTACAGACGTTCACCTCTGACAGTTTTAACAGCGTCAGTTCGATTGTTCAGTTAAAACAGAACGTGTGTTGCTTTGCGCACTTGCTTGCTAAAGTGGCTAAATACTAAAAAGTGATAAAATTAACAAAAGGTGTATGTTAAAACAGCTGCGCATTTGACCTGAGACGTCATTCAGGTGTGACGACGTCGCCCATTTTAGTGTAATGTTCCATTGGTGTAACGGCTTCGTTACTCCCTTGGCTTTGAACCGCGACTCTGTCCGTGTGGTATTGAAAAAACAAAAGTGAGTAGCCTATGTATTCTTCCAAACTATCCCCTACATCTATGACACATTTCATAGAGATTCGTTGGGAAATTTTGGCCAGAAACTCTAACAAACATCCATCCATCCATCCATCAATCTAAACTTTTACATTTATAATTTTTTTTTTATAAGAAAAGAACAAACGACCGACGGAAACACAGAGGTGGTCAACGACGCCCATGGACATACGCAACACCGGCCGGCCTTTGCGGAAATACTAGGCTCGCTTCTAGAAGGACCCTTAGACGTAATGGTTTGGAAATACCACCAATAGCAGTAAGATAAGATAAATTTGCTATGACAATTATGTCCCGTTATAAAATACTTGGTACAGTGTAGTAAACACGGCAGTCTAACTTGTCTATTTGCGTAAATAATTGCAATAAACAGTCACTCGACCTTGTCGAATGTCTCCATTCTAATTATAACACGGAGGTAACAGTGAAAGTAATGAATGAACTAGTTGTCACGGATGGTACAACTTTGTTTTTATAGACTGTGACCGGTGAAGCTTGGTAGAATTAATTTAACAGAATCGTCAGCCATCTTCGAATCCGCTTATCCTTTCTTAAAACTTACCAACTTTTGTTAATACCATTTTACAGCATACCTGAGCGTTTTATTGTCTGTTCCTCTTACCTTCAATAATCAAAACAATACAGAGATTGAAAAAAAACTGTTTTTTACATTACTTTTGACTCTCTATATAGACTAAACCATCATTCGTATTCTTTACGTAAGTTCCTTATATAAATTACTAGCTGTTGCTCGCGACTTCGCCCTCGGGAAATTAAAATATAGCCTATTTCACTCACAGACAAGTTACCTTTCTAACGGTGAAAGAATTTTTAAAATCGGCCCAGTAGTGAATTATTTCAATACATACAAAAATACAAAAATACAAATCTTTCCTCTTTAAAACATTAGGATATAGTCTAACCGTTGTTGCTCACGAGTTCGTCAGCCTATGGGCTGTGTTTTTTATTATTTTTTTAGTTATAATTATCAGTTATGGTGTATGAATTTTTTTTTTAAATCGGCCCAGTAGTGTTCGACTTATATAAATACATACGAAAATACAAATCTTTCCTCTTCATAACCTTAGTATAGATAAAAAAGTATACATAAGATGGATCTAGACTCGCGTGGTATACCAGCCAAGTTAAATCGATTAACAAAGATAGCGTGCACGAAAACCCACCACAATATTTACAAATTTACCACGAACAAGCAATTTATTGTGAACACGATTTATGTTTTACGTTTCATAGATAAAGTTCTTTCACATTTTTAATCTATGACATAAAGTTATATCCGGTAATAGACAAATGTCGACATCGTCCACAGTTTACTGTTATTCACTTTTGTAATCTATTTATCAATAATTTTCAAATAAAACAACGTAGGTATCTGTAACATTAACTTTGCATCTTTCTCTTGCTTTTCCCTACCTTGTGGGTTTTTACCCAATACTGATAACCCAAAATACAAGTAACTAATGCACTACGACAATTCTAGGTCCATAAATCGATTTATCTAACAATAACTAGGAAAATTCTATACTTTATTATGATGAAATCACATTGTAATGTTAAAATAACACAACTAGTCGATGTTGTTTACATATTACATGTATTGATTTGTTGGCCGTTATTAAAATTGTAATAAAAATATAAATACGCATCTACGCCATCGAATCGTGGGAAGAACGTGGTATATAAAAGGGGTGGTTCTTACACAAATGGATAAAACCGGCTTACTCAGCCATAGTATGACGTCGCAATTAAAAAAAAAACATTACTACAGAGTAAATATACTGTTTCGTATCGACAATCATTTTCAATCGAATGAAAGTGAAAACAAAGGTGAAATCAAAATATATCAGTTTTTTAGTTTGATTATTAGTAAGGTATTTCGCAATGATAGTTTTATTTAGTGTGTTTACTATGGTATTAATCTTACTATCGTCACTATCAGAGTAGATAAGGTGCCCTGATTATAGGTGTAAAAAATGTGAGGAATGTGTGATGTTAAATGAACCAATCCGGCATAATACACCAAGGTTCACAACTCACCTGCTATTCTCAAAACGGCACGGTCTGCCGGATCCAGTTGCAGAATGGACAAAGGCTTGTCCTTCGCCCATTCTTTCAAGCTGAAATCGTTCTCGAATTCCATGTTTTTGTCATCCAAAACAAGCAGTCTTGCGCGAACTCTCGCACATAATTGAATCGAAACACCGCACAACACTAGCGTCGAATTATGCACACCATATTATTTACGATAGGCTCACATAAAAATAAAAAGTAAACAAAACGTAACGCTCATTGTAAAATAAAAAAAAAATCGATAAACGTACAAAACTCACTAAAGATACGTTAACGCGTACCTTGAATTTGTAATCGCTATTAGACCACTAAATAACACTAAATAAACTTAATCAAATGTAATTATTAACTTAAAAGGTTCCAAATTTAAAAGGACGGAGTAACAACTGTGTTTTAGGTTATCAAAAACACCGCGTATTATAAACCGAACCGGCAGGTAGACATGACGCGACTGCCTTCTAGTTTACGATTACGCCACACTGTCGCTGTTTTCGCTCAGCTGTTTCCGCGCACGCTCTCGTTTGTCATTATGCGACTAACTTAGAATGTCTTCAAAAATCAATAAAACTACGTGAACCTGGAACATCCTTATTTCGTCGTACATAATCGCTTTTTATCAAATACTGCCATCTCGTAGAAGTTTATAACACTACGGCAACGGTTCGAACTTCGAGGTATTGTTTTTTTGATTATTAATGTTTCCATAAGACAGAAAACATTATTTACATTTTGTCTCCTTAACAGAATAAGTTTGAATTGGTCGGATTGATTTCTTATTACTATTTTTCAGAAAAATATGGAATAAGAGTAAAAGCCGGGACTTCATGTCATTGCCTCGTGTAATTTTCTACTCCGTGAAAATTATTCACAATGGTAACCCAATTGTATTCTCAGTATATATATGTAATATCAATGTGTATTCCTTTGATTGCTTGGTTACCATAGCAACTATGTCAAAAACAAAGTTATTTTCAAAGTAAAAATAAAGATAACAACTTAACAACTAACTAAAAAAAGGAATAAAGTTGATTTAGTTTAGTTTAGTTTGCAAATGAAAATAAATGCAACAAAGTCCAAGGACTTTCGCTTGTTTTTGTGTTATTTGAAAGTTATATCACTTTTGCGATGTTTTATCGATAATTCAAAACTTATTTGCATTTATTGAACAGTTATTTGATCTAACTTGACCTAATTCTATCTTGTACCTTCATATTTACTTCATAATTATTAAACTGGTTTCAAATTCGCCTTTTAGTATCATTTTATTAAGAAAAAGAGAATAATTATAGTGCTAAAAGGTTGAAATATTGCATATTTTTATTTCCTAAAACGAAATGGCTACTACCTTAAAAGCTCTGGCACAAAAACTAAGAAGTTGACAATGGATGATGAATATGTACAATTCGCTCCAAGAGTAAGTAGTAAGTTAAGTGGATTTCCATAGTTTGTAATATGTTGTCACTATTGATTTGATTGTGCTTTAAAAAAATCTATGATATAAACTTAAGATATCGATATTTTGCTGCATCTTGTGTTATAGAATGATGTGTAATAAAATTATTTGTTGCCATTTTACCCAAAAAACTGAATATATTTCTGAACTGAATAATGATACAAAAGTACATGTCCTTGTATCATGGATGTCTGCAGGATAGTGCAGAATGGCAACAGCCCTCCCAAGAAAAATATGGAATAGCTATAATAAGTATAGATGGCGAAGCCTACAACTTTTATGCGGTTTGCCGAACATATATAAAAATGTTTACTAATAAGTTTCTTAATATCATTTTAGGTGACCACATACAGTAATGTAAATAAGAGAAATTTGGTTAAGAAAAGTCCAAAGAAATTGACATTTACAGGCAACTTTACACCATGTCATAGGCATTTCTATATAACAGAAGCGGAGAAACGGAACAGTTTACGTCTTGACATCTTGAATGCTGTGATGAAAAGAACCGAATCCAAGATGCAGAAAGATATAGAATTTAATGATAATCCACTATATGAAGATCCGAGAGATGTGATTGGTTAGTTTGATTATTAATTTAACTTTTCTACAAACACTATTGCTTTCTCTGTTTTATGAAAAGGATGACAGTAGTGTAATAGAAATGTTAAACATAAGTACAGTCAGCTTCATAAACATGTGCAATTTTACAAAACTTGTGTAGTTTCCGGCTTGCATATATTTGTCAATAGTGTGTATTCATGGTTGTAAGGATATATGCATATATATTTTAGAAACTGTAAATGAATACAAGATTCTGATGCTTTGTTAATGTTTACATTTTTATGCATCTTACTATTAAGACAAAGTAATTTTAAGATCAACGAAGCTTAATGTTTCTGCAAGCAGATTTGTACCTAAGACTGAACAATCAGAAATGTAACCACTAAAATGTCAGTACTTTGTTTTTTAAAATGCCTTTATTTGCTTTGTGTTAATAAAATGACAATATTCCAAATAGATGGACCAGTTAAACCTCTAAGGAAACGCAACATACATGGAAATGTGGCTAATACCAGTAAAGAAGGAAAACATTTAATTAAAGAACAGAAGAAGAAATTGAACAAGAAATATGAAAGACTTATCACCGCTCTTATGGACAGATGTGAAGAAAATATTGTTTCAGTAAGTATAATTTATGTTTTTTTTATAACATTGGTAAATTTGATTATCATTTTATGTCCATCTTCTTTTTTGTGACTGAATGGCCACTGTTTGTCTTGAGGAGGCATTTACAGATTCACCGGGCTTGAGGTGGCCGAGCGCAGATGGTGCATAGCCTAAACCTCGTTTATGAGTAACTAAGCTCGAGGGCTCCCTCGGGAGCCTCGGCACGAGCCGGTACTTCGTTATTATTACCTGATTGGGATCTTCTTTAGGTCACAATATGTGAAGGGTTATTTCTTAGTCTTATTTTTTTCTTTTGAAAAGCAAAAAATGTAAAATAACCAAGCCAGATATAAGTTGAGATTAGAGGGTAGACTTAAAATAGTGTCTACAATGTTACCTAATATAAAGTGAAATTTCTTGAGTTGAGTTTTTATTGGAATTCAAAATAATAAATATGTTTGTTTAATTCGGTATTGTACAATATTAATTTTCAATTTTCAGATATCTGAAAAGGATGCACATATAGCAAAACTGAAAGAAAAATTGAAAACAATTTTAGAATACAACAAACTGTTTGCCAGTGAAAATGACAGACTGAAATGTGAACATTCAACATTAATAAAATATGCAGAAGAATGTAAAACTGTTATCAAAGAAGAGAGGGAGAAGAATGCAGACTTAGAAGACAAATGTAAGAGTTTACAGGAAAGAGTGAGACAGTATGATATACCTGATAAAGGTCAGTACTTTATTAAAGACATGTTATCGTTTAATGTTTCAAAAAGTACAGTCAGGTTCTTGCGAGGTGTTCCACTTAGAGAAAAGTTACCTTATTCCTTCTGTTTAACTTGTTAGAGTTAGCGCCACAGCCAAAACTAAAAAACTTTTCTATTAACTGAAACAACTTTATTTAAACTTATTTACAATATTACTCTGTAAACAGAAACAATTTTCTACAAGCGTATCAGCAGTGTTAACTTGGGTGTTTCCCGTTGGGTCGATCAACCCATTAGAATTTTTAGATCAATTTCCTGTATGAATTCGAACAGCCCAAGGGGAAATAACCATTAGTTCGATCGGCCCAACGGGAAATTCGTTAACTTTTGGTTAATCTCTTAAATAGACCAATCAGAGCCGACCACAGCAATACCATTAGTTGAAGTCTGCATGAACTGCTCCAGCAGACAGATTGTATTGAACCAGGCGAAAGAACTCAACTCCAGGCTGCAGAAAGACATGCAAGCGCTCAAAGATGTTCTGTACAGGTTAGTTCTGTTTTTATAGAAGGTGATAAACGGCACTGAAATTCGCCAAAATAGCAACGAACGCATCCCATAGACATCAGCAGCTAAATTTAAACAACACAGGAAAGGACGCACAGAAATAAAATATTTTTTATTAACTATACTAATATTTGTATTTTTGTATGTATTGAAATAACTCAAAAACTACTGAGCCGATTTCAAAGACTCTTTCACTATTATAAAGCTACGCTATCAGTGAGTAACATAGGCTATATTTTAATTTTACACGGAAAGTCGTGTGCAACAGCTAGTACGTCGCCACTTCCCCTTAACAGTCTTTCCTTGTATGATATGGGTTGATAGGGGAAGAAGACTAAAATTAGGCCTCCAACACACAGAATGTATGCGGAATTGCTTTCACTTCCAACGGCGGATACAGGGGGAGGGGAGTCATGGGGGTTATTACCCCCCACTGAGCTGGTTGGTCAAGAGCTTGCAAAATATATTTACATATTTTGTCAAGCTCTTGACTTGACCATGACTTTGTGACCCCTCCTGGCGCCAAAGCTAGATCCTCCCTTGTTCACTTCACGTCTTCTTCGTGGTCCGGGCATTGCACTGGTCGAGGTCATATTTGTACAAATATAATAAAGCGGATTCCACCACGGTTAATATATTATCAGACTTCTAGTATGAATGAATGAAAGAAATTCAGAATGGCGAGATTTGAAACCCCGACCTCGTGACCATAAGATTATTAGAGTTCTAATTTCCAAGAGTTACTAACAAAACTAAGTTATTATATAACTTAAATTATTAACTTCCAGACTCAACGTACAGTTAGCCCGTTATCAAGAGAAGTTACGAAGCAATGTACCAACATTACAGACAGACAAAAGTACAGACAAATATGACTGTATAGATTCCCTCATCAACGCCAGTTTAGGACAGAGACGTGGTAATATGCGTTTACACTGATAAGAACATGCACAAAAACATGCTTCAAGTTTTTAAGAGAGTATCAGAAAGTTTCCGCAGTGGGAACCCACGGTATAAAAGGAGATCAAGGAATTTATACAAACATCAAAAAGATTTTAAAATCTAGTGTCCAAATAAAGTTATATATTTTTAATACAAGGTGGTAAACGAATAAACGGACATGAATTCGCTTAAATGGCGAAGCGACCCATGCCCGTATAACCGCATTTTCAAATGCTTTCCCTTTTATCGACGGTTGCGGGGGACAGATAATATTTCCCCTTTATCAGCATCTTCTCTGTCAAATCCCTTCCCATACTCTATAATAAAAGGGTGGAAAGAGAATGGGACTAAGAATCTCCGTTTTCACAAGATATATTTGTGTAGCACCAAAACATTTAAAAATCATTTTTATTTTATAACGTTACAATATTTTTAGAATCAACAACAGAAGAAACAGCAAAAAAGGACCATGAAGGAAATCAAGCAAGAATGGTGGATCTATCTGGGTTACTCAGCGCACAAGCTTTAGGTAAATGACAGTCTCACTCAGAGACGTTAATTAGTCAATAAGATAGGCTCTTATAGATTTGTCACATTAAATCTATACTAAAGGCGGAGTAAAGTCATATTGTAAAGTAAACAGTGCATTATTAAGACAAACTGTGATGAATAAATTTAATTTAATATTTTAGATTTGGATTGGTTTTTAAGGGCCTGTCCTGTTAAACTAGATTCTAGCAGCCAGTGGTGGGACAGGCGCTAAACCTTTTAAAAGTTACAGCTGTATAATTTTTACGCCCTAGATACAGTTATACCCTCCTATAACGCGGTTGTTGGTTCTGCGTTCGGATTTGAGCGTTACAACACGTTATAACACGTTTTTCAACTGGGCAGTCATAACTCGCGTTATAGAGGGATTGTTTTAATATAGTTGGTAATAGGGGTTATTTCAGCGTTATATGGAGGTACTGAATACGCGTTATAGAGAGGTATCATACATTTTTTTCGTTTCGATTTAAATAAATGACAGAATATAAATAGAGTGTCAAATATAATATTGTTTATTTTACTTAGCACCATTATTTGATTCATATCAAGAGAATCTACAAGAGAAAGATAATTTAATCAACGATTATGAGAAACAATTCGAAAATATGAACAAGAAATCCAAAGAAATTGTAAATGACAACAAATCGTTAAGCGATAAAGTGACAGCGTTAGAGAACGAACTGTCGCAAGTGAGACAGAGCTATAAGAAACTGGTAGTAGAGAGGGAGACGGCAGATATCGAAAAGGCGACTTTACTCGAGAGAGCCGAACGAGCTGAATCCAAATTGAAAGAAGTATATGAATTGTATGAAGATAAAAGTAAGTTTCCATTGCTCTTTAACATTTTTAATTTGTTTAAACGCTTAAAATGAAAAACACATAATTATGTTCAATGTAATTTTTATATAGGTTATACACTAATATGACTATGGCATATCTTTTTAGTAAATTATTATCTTTATTCGACTAAACTCTCAAATATCTTACTTCTTACTAATATTATAAATGCGAAAGTTTAGATGGATGTTTGTTAGTTTGTAGCCTAATCTGTAGATTCAGTAAAACGGATCTAGGTGAATTGTGGCATGGGTGTAGAGGATAGTCTGGAAAAACAATTAGGCTACTTACTTTTGTTTTTTTAAATCCACGCGAACAGGTTCGCGTGCGAAAGCTAGTATATAATCAAAGCATCAAACAAAGTGACAATTCATTTGACAAAAAAAGTTTGATCGTATATCAGTATTGCCATGTGAAAAGTTTCTCTTTCTTATGTCAATACCTTGGTTAAAATCTTTTATGTACCATCTGTTGCCCGCGACTTCGTCCGCGTGGTATTAGAAAACAACATTAATAACAAAAAGCTACGTATCCCTCGGGAAGATATGTTGAACCGTTGCAGAATGATCGAGTAAACATAAAAAAAACTAAATTGATGAATCTTACGGGAACCGAAACTATTCCCGGTATAAAAAGTATCCTACGTGTTCTTCCAGGCTATGCTGTAAACCTGTGCCAAATTTCTTGGAGATCCGTTCAGCCGTTTAGTCTACAAACGCTAACAAACATCCATCCATCGTAAATTTCGCATTTATAATATTTATTCTGTATATATTGATTTCCTAGTGGCAGCAATGATACGTGATTACGAGACGGTACATCGCGAATACTTTGCGGTAAAAAACGCACTGGAAGCGTCTGCGGGTAAAATAACGCAATTAGACGCGATGCGCGCGCGCACCGTGCCCGCCGACCTGCACGAGCGCAGGCTGGATCACTGCAAACGGTATACATTTTTATAATATTTCTTTTCTATATATATCTACTAGTTCCCGTGCGGCTTCATCCGCATGGAATCAAAATATTTTCATGTTTATATTTGTGAAATTATCAATTGCAAATGCCAAAGTGATACGACGTCCTTTTGGTCCCTTTCCCTTTCCACCCTTTTCTTGAGAGGAAAGGATGGGAAGGAAAAGTGGATTTGACGGTGGAGGAGACGCATAGGAAGGGGAAATGTCCTCTTTATGTGCGTCTCCTCCGTCAATGAAAGGTAGGCAACGCATCTGCAATTGCGGATGTCTATGGGCAGCGGTCGCTTTCCATTTCGGTGGATTCAGGTGACCGCTTGCTTTTGCCAACTTATATTATAAAAAAAAGACATGATGACAAACTATGTCAACCTTGCTTGCTTGATGTTGGCAGCTTGTAGTTTATGGTCCCTTTCCGCACGTGAAGCTTTTTTCCAATATATTTATCTTCTATGTTAAATAGCGTGAAAATATATAACTTAAAGCGTGTTGTAAGTATAGGGCTTTTTATTAGAGAAGTAAGTATTTAAAAATATGCTGTGATTGCTGACATCCTACGCCACAAAGTATCTGGCAATATTTTTTTTTTAATTTGCGCTATTTCTCTTGTTATTTTCAGTTTACTAGAAGAGCTCAAACACCAATACTCAATGGAGAATGAACGGAAGACCGAGCAGGTGAAGAAGTTGCAAGAAGATATTCACAGCACAGAAGAGAAGTACAATAAGGTGTGTCAGGAGCATGAAGCAATTAAGGAGGAACTGAGAACAGCTTTGAAGAATGTCAGGTAATTAATTACAGGCGTTTCTAAAAATGTAATATAACTTTTTCATGATATTGATTCAAGTAACTTTAAATTTCTTTTTAAAGAGTTTTACAAATAATTAAGTTTACTGAAGTAAATCTATGGTTTAAATTTTGAATTAAAAAAAAAATATCTTGCTAATGTTTTGGATGAAGGATGGATGTTTGTTAGAGTTTGTAGCCTAAACTGCTGAACGGATCTCAATTAAATTTGGTATAGATGTGGAGGATAATCTGGAATATAATACTTCAATTTCCAAACAGTTTCGATTTACCCTTCAAGAAAAGAGCGTATTCGTTAAAAGCCGGCAGCGCATCTGCAGTTCCCTTGGCGTTGCAGATGTTCATGGACGTCGGATCATTTATTAAGCGATCCGCTGCTCGTTTGCCCGATTTTCCTACCATCATCTTCATCAACTCGCCCTTATCCCTTACTGAGGGTCGGTGCAGTATGTGCTGCTCTTCCACACATCTCTATCAGCCGTCATATCTGAATCCACTCCTTTATTAAGCATATCCTCTTTCATACAATCCATCCATACTTTCTTCAGTCTTCTTCTTCCTTTGTAGCCATTCACATTCATTCTGAACACTATCTGGTTTATTTCCCCATCGTCTCGTCGCATAATATGTCCATGCTAACCTTTTGCTTCTCAATTTACCTTAACTGGCGCTACTTTGAAACTTCCTCTAATATTCACATTCTTAACTTTATCTATTCTTGTCACTTCACACATCTATCTTAACATACGCCTCATCATCTTTCTCCTTATCCTACTCCTGTAGAGTCGGCGCAACAGGTTTTTATCCTCCACATAACTCTATCATATGTCATCTCAGTCATCACTCCCTTTTTGATCATGTCACCTTTCACGCAATCAATCCATCTCTTTTTATGTCTACCTCTACCGATGGACCCTCCCACATTCATAACTATCGTTCT